GTTATATCACCAATTACCTATTTAGTATTTACTTACGGAAGTTATAAAATTGTTCTTTACTATTCTTTTATTAAACATTTCATTAATCTTAGGATGTGTTTGGTTGTGGAAAACTTTTTTTATTTTCTAAGAAAATGTTTTCAGAAAATAGAGTTAAGTTTTCGTTTTTGAGTTTCTAATGAAAATTTTAGAAAATACATTTGGTTATAATAGGTGAAGTTTTCGTTTTTCATCTTAAAAATTTGGAAAACTGTAAAACTAGCTTTTTTAACTTACATACAATTTGAAAAACTTACGAGTTTCATTTTTTTAGAAAATTGAATGAGCCAAATGCGCTTTAAAAAAATTATTTTTTATTTGGAAATTTTTTTTAAAAAACTAAAAAAAATTTCACAATCCTTGAAATCTCAAACCATATTTGGTCGTCGTGGTACTTCATTTTGTTTTTATTGATCTTGACCGCCCATATTAGATATAGGATCTGAAAAGTATACGAGAAGTCTTATTTTCTAAAAAGTTCATGGCATGATAAGATATCGAATTTATCAACACTTTCCAACGAAGATTGAAGTGATATTACATTAATTATAAAAAAATTAAAAAAATAAAAAAAAAAAAAAAATCTACTCTAATAAATAAATGTTTTTTTTATCACTTGTAGTACTCTTATTTAATTTGTCAAATTTCATTTTATGTTTATTTGTAATTATTTTTTTCCGCATGTCATTTTATAAATTTTTCTATTTTATCAAATTCAACATAATATGTTAATATAATAAATGTAATAAATTGATATTAATTCATTAGTTAACCTACCTTTTAATTTCAAAATTCTTAAAATTAAAGCTTATTAGTTTCTTTGTTATTTATTTAAATTATTTGTTTAAATTTAAAAGATAAAAAACATTTTCATTGTAATAATTTTATTTTTCTTATTTTCTTATAAATTCAAAGTTACCAAATATTTACACTTTTATATTTATTTATTTTTTAAATTAACCCATGCAATACATAGATCTTACTACTAGTAAATAAATAAACCATCGACATACTAAAAATACTAAAAGTTGTTAAAAGATAATGACAAAATTGCAAGAACGGTCCCTGTGGTATATTAAAACTTGTAAGTCTTTGCCTTTAATAGTTTATAATATGATCTTACCAATTTGAAAGCGAGCTAGCGAAGTACCTCTTAGGAAAGCAGGTTATAACACATACAGCTCTCAAAAGATAAAAAGAGAAAGAGTTATGACTTCAAGTAAGAAAGTGAAAGTTCAGTCCTCATCGCCAAAAAGAAGACAGCAACAATCCGTACTACTTCTCTCAGTAAATAACATTCTCTTAGTTAGAGAGTAAGTAGATAGACGGATTAGTACTTTTACCCAGGGGTAGCCTTCCTTGTCGCCAAAGAAGAATGAGAATTGATAAAGTTTTCTTGGGCTTCAATAGCAGAAGCAAAGAAGTCAAATTAATGCAGCTTTCGTGCCCATCCTAAAGATCCTATCCTCGCAGCAGCTGGAGCTCTTGATGGCACATTCAAGCGAGTTTATGAATGAATGAAATCAGTTGAAGGAGCGGCCAAGGACGAAAGCTTTGATTGCGTTCTGCTATGGTTGGCTTTTTTCCTTGCCTAAAACAACTATCTTCTCTTCGCTTCCACTTTTGGAAGACCTTGCATTATATCACCACATCTTGATTTTTCATATATAAATGTAACTAATGTATCGCCTTCGTAAAGGATTTCCCCATAATGTCCATGAACAGTTGCTCCTGGAGTAGCCAAATAAGGCTTAGCTGATCGTATTACCACAGAGTCAACTTGAACAATTAGAACTTGACCCGATTTTAAATGCGGTCCTTTTTTTGCTATACATACATTTTCACAAAGAAACTGCCCAAGACTAACGATTGGAGATGTCTCTTCACAATAATTGTAATGGAGAAAATACCAATTCAAATGAAATGGATTCAAAATGATGTTACTGCATGAATAGGGATTATAAATTTGACCATTTTCATCCAGTAAATAATATTTAAGTATTTGAAAAATCTGTTTGAAATTGTCAAGTTGCAAATAGTTAGTTACCAAGATCTGATTATGGGTTATTAAATGGGAAAAGAAATCAAAATTATAAATTGGAAAACCTGTTCCTAACGGGCCCAACGAATTCCTAATTGGAATTAGGGGGTTCTTTTTGATTGATTCTTTTATCGCATTGGGAGATTTTACATCGTTGAATGGGCCTATTCGAAAACAATTGGATGATGACAAAATTATCAAAGATTGAGATTCCTTATTTCGATTCAACAACGTATGGATAGTTCCTTGATTTGGATTAAGGGATTCTTTAATCCTTGACTTGGAATAGGAATAAATGGAAGAAAATGGATTGACATTAGCGCGATCTGATCCATTCTCAGAGATCAATCCTGAACCCGACAGATCGTTCCTTTTTCCGGTATAAGAAATAGGTGACTTAGCTAAGTCGATTCTTAGAAAATATCTAAGCAAACCATTTGTCCTTATTTCAACAAAGGAAGCACAGGCCTTTTCGATTTTTTTGTCTTGGTCCCAATTCAACACTAAAGAAGTCCGAACTAACTGAATACTTGTATCCCAAATTTCAAGAATTGGGTCGTAATAAAGGATATAATTGACAACTCGAAGTTGTAGATTATCACTTTCCTGCAAGAGATCCGGCGGGAAAAGTCTTCCTAAATTTATACCATCCGTTTTTTTATATGGGACTACAGGTTGAACCAAAACAAAATACTTTTTTTCATACCTGGAAAGTTTCATTCGTTGGATATAGAGCCAATTTTTCAATTTTTTGTATTCTTTGGAATTTGGTTTTCCCCCTCCTGGCGGTATCAATCGGAATGCCTTATTTGTCTTTCCAGGAAAATGGATATCTCCAGAAAAGATTATCAGTTTCATTTTTTCTGCTTTTTTCTTCACTCGGACCAATCCGCCTACCCGACTTCTTCTATTGAAAGTGATTTGTGTATCTGCCCCAATAATACTATTGTGCCGTACCATTATGGAAGAAGATTCGGACAAAATGTGGACTTCCACGGGAATAAAAAAAAATGGATTTACTTCCTTTTGGTATTTTGGCCAAAATACCTTGACTCCTCGATACTCAATCAAATTCTCTTCGTTGACGATTGAATTTAGTTCTCGAGTCTCATATTTAGTAAGTCCCGAGCTCTTTCTTATATATCGAGGATCATCGAAATAAGCAAGAATAAGAAGGTATTAGTTGGTTCTCGCCTTCTTGAATCGATTCGAGTGGGATGATGAATATATTTCTTCGCCTCTTTGCCAATAAATCAGAATTACCGTCGAGAATGGCCGGATATCTGAGATTACAATGATCCGTACATGTCATTCGATTCAGTTCTGAATAATCAGGAATCCTATCTCCTTTTTGATTTTTACCAGAAAAATACGAACTAAAAAATTTGTGTCTCACTTGATTATTAGTTACTGAGGGGTTAGCAATATATCTTGGCTTGACAGAAAGAGAATAAGCGTTCATTTGATCTTGATCCTTGTGGATCGAACAAGGGCCTAGACTGTATCTCCAGGGCTCCCCTAATAATATCCATAAATGACTTGTTTTTGGTAAGAGATGAATATTACCATATGTAAATTCAGGTGCATGGTACACATCAGTATTCCAGTGCATTTCGCCTTCTGAGTCAGAATAAATATGTTTTCGAACCTTCTCTTTCAAATTCAAAGTGGAGGTTCTCGCGCGAATCTCAGCAATCACTTGTTCTGATTCTACATATTGATCGTTTTGAACTAAAAGAAAACTTTTGGGCGGAATACACACATTGTGTATAATATCTTCACTCTCAATAGTTACATACAAGTCTCTAGAACATAGAAAAGCAGGATGTCCATGACGTGTACGTGTCGGATGAACCAAATCCTCGTTGAATTTTATTTTTCCATTAGAAGGGGCTCTCACATGTTCTGCAGTACCCCCTGTAAATACTCCGCCGGTATGAAAAGTTCTTAATGTTAATTGAGTGCCCGGTTCTCCAATAGATTGACCTGCAATAATACCTACGGCTTCTCCCAATTCGACCAGGTCGTCATGAGCTGGACTCCAGCCATAACATAATTGACAAATCCAAGATGTACTCCTACAAGTAAAGGGGTTTCGAATAGAGATTGGGTGTGCTCTAAAAGTTATGAATCTACTGACAAGTCCAACCCCAATATCTTGATTTCTAGTAGCAATACATCGCGAACCTATATATATATATCATCTGCTAATACACGGCCAATTAATGTTTGGATAAAAATCCTGTCCGTCATCATTCCATTTTGAGGACTTACAGAAATACCTCGAACGGTGCCACAATCTGTTCGACGTACAACAATGTGTTGAACTACTTCAACAAGTCTGCGCGTGAGATATCCTGCATCTGATGTTCGGATAGCGGTATCCACAACCCCTTTACGGGCTCCGTAACAAGAAATAATGTATTCTGTTAAAGACAGTCCTTCGCGTAAATTGCTTTGAATGGGTAAATCAATCATTTGCCCTTGAGGATCCGACATTAATCCTCTCATAACTACTAATTGATGTACCTGAGATGCATTTCCTTTGGCTCCCGAAAAAGACATTATATGGACTGGATTAAAAGGATCGGTCATCCGAAAATTAGGATTCATTTCTTGTCGCAAATATTCACTTGTGGCATACCATATTTCGATCGATTGACGTAATTTTTCTACCGCGTGTACATTCCCATAATGATGGTGTTTTTCCAAAATAAAACTTTGTTGTTCAGCGTCTTGAACTAGCCATCTTTTAGAAGGTATTGTTAAAAGATCATCAATTCCTAATGAAATGGATGCGGCGGTAGCTTGTCGGAAACCCAGAGTCTTTACTTGATCTAAGATATGTGATGTATATCCTATTCCATAGTGATCAATAAATCGACTAATAAGTCGTTTCATGGCAGTTCCGTCTATCACTTTATTGTGAAAGACCTGAGTGGGCCGTTCTGCCATCAGTACCTCCATATTGCGCTGAGTAGAATTTTACAATGGGCTTGAGTCAGTGATTGGAAAACTTCCTTTTCTAGATCTTGATTCACGTATAAATTCTGCACTTATGGTCCTAGTTAACCCGGAGAGACTCGAATTCCCGTTGGTAGCATAGAATTACAACAGCCCTGCCAAAACCCCTGTATGGCTTCTTCTATTTCTCGATAAAGGGAAATATGACCAAGAGTGGTTCGAATATATATATAAAGAATTTCTTTTTTTTACTTCGTACTATTAGATAGTGTCCATAAATCTCATAATAGGTCCCCACATATTCATAGTGAATTTCGATGGGAACTTCTCTTGCAGTAATAACGCGTTGATCTAGTCGCCACCGCAGCCACAAAGGACTACCTAAATTGATTCGTTTTTGCCGATAAGCTCCAATTGCATCATAGGGATTACAAAAAAGGGTTCTTTTTTTTGTATACTTATAGTTATTATCTTCATTTTGATAGTTTCTACGATTACATGGATTATACCTATTTACACAAATACCCCGACGATTTCCACTCGTTAAGACATAGAGTCCACTAAGCATATCTTGAGTTGGTGCCGAAATCGGATCCCCAATAGTTGGAGACAAAAGATTCATATGAGAAAACATAAGTAAACGCGCCTCTGCTTGAGCCTCCAAAGATAAAGGCACATGAACAGCCATTTGATCCCCGTCAAAGTCTGCATTGAAGCCCTTACAAACTAATGGATGTAAACAAATAGCGCGCCCTTCCACTAAAACGGGGAGGAATGCCTGTATGCCTAATCTATGCAGAGTAGGCGCTCTATTCAGCAATACAGGATGGTCATCCAGAATTTCCTAAAGTATTTCCCATACAATCGGTTTTTTTTTCCGAATTTGACTCTTAGCAACTCCTATGTTCGAAACAAGATGTTTTCTAATTAGGTCACGAATTACAAATGCCTGGAAAAGTTCTATTGCTATTTCGCGAGGCAATCCACATCGATGTAATGAAAGTGAAGGGCCCACGACAATCACGGACCGCCCTGAATAATCGACCCGTTTACCAAGCAGAGTCTCACGAACTCTTCCTTCTTTGCCTTCAATTATATCTGAAAGCAACTTGTAAACTCTATTATGATCATCCCTCATTGGTTGTCCGCAGATTCCATTATCAAGAAGTGCATCCACGGCTTCTTGTAGCAATTTTTCCTGAGATATTATTAATTCTTCTGGCGTAGCTATACTTGTTGTTAATAGATCTGTAAGAGTATTATTCCGATAGATAATTCTTCTATAGATTTCATTAATATTCGAGGTCACTAGTTTATCCTCATCTATATGATAGATTGGTCTCAACTCAGGTAAGAAAACAAATAATCATCTGGGAAGAATAAATTTTTTTATTTAACTTGTTGATTCATATTTATTTTGACTACTTTCTCATATCTTATCATATTCTATTCATTTTTATTCGACCTTCCGGGAGATCATTCTCCGGGCAACTCCGTTTAACCGGTGGATTCCCTCCAACCTACTTCTTTTATGATCTCATTGGAAATCATATAAAGACAATTCCTATTTGATATAGCTATTTGTGCAAGTATTTTACGATTAAGAAGCAACTGTCTCTTGTACAGACCGTTTATTAATCTACTATAACTATAGCATACCCCCCTTTCACGAATTGCTGCATTTATTCGAGTGATCCACAAACGACGAAAATTGATTTTTTGCTTATCCCTATCCCGATGAGCCGAAACCAAAGCTCTTATTTTTTGTTGAGTAATAGTTCGAGTAAGTCTTGAATGAGCCCCCCGAAAGCTTGATGCAAATAAACGAATTTTTGTTCTACATCTCCGAGCGATATATCCCCGTCTAATTCTGGTCATTGAATAAATGAAACTTTCACGAATAACTAATAGATTTCCTTTCTTTCAGTTATTCTTTTGCCCCTTTCCTAGTATATTAATAACAAAACGGATTTTTCCAATGTATAAACTAAAAATTCCAACGGCTTTGGCTACTATAACCTTCCCAACCACGATTTTTTCTTTTTTATAGGCGTTTCGCCTCGAAATACGAAATTGTACTAGACTAGGTATTAAAAATAAATAAAAAAAATAGCAATAACTGATTTATGTATCGGATTTCATTCGCCCCATGGTTGGGAACTGATGATTGGCTTTGTCTACAAGGATTTTGGATTTGTTCATAATGAGCAAATTATATTTGGCCTTGTTTCCACTTTTCCAGTCATTCTAGATACAATTTTCAAATATTGGATTTTCCGTTATTTAAATCGCGTATCTCCGTCACTTGTAGTGATTTATCATTCAATGAATGACTGAAAAATTATCTACCTAATCCAATTAGAATGTTTCTTACTTTGCAGTTGTACATAAGCAAAGCATTGAAAATCGTACTCACTCTTATCTTTCTACCCATCCCGGAGATTCATCCTATATATTAATCCAGTCAAATTATTCCAGTAAATAACAGAATCGTGGATAGGAAACTCCATTAGTGACCTACCCCAATTTATTGTATAAATTTTCGGGATCAATGGTTGGACCATGCAAACTAGAAATAATTTTTCTTGGATAAAGGAACAGATTACTCGATCTATTTCCGTATCGCTCATGATATATATCATAACTCGTGCATCCATTTCAAATGCATATCCCATTTTTGCACAGAAGGGCTATGAAAATCCACGAGAAGCGACTGGACGTATTGTATGCGCCAATTGCCATTTAGCTAATAAACCAGTGGATATTGAGGTTCCGCAAACGGTACTTCCCGATACTGTATTTGAAGCAGTTGTTCGAATTCCTTATGATATGCAACTGAAACAAGTTCTTGCTAATGGTAAAAAAGGGGCTTTAAATGTGGGGGTTGTTCTTATTTTACCAGAGGGTTTTGAATTAGCCCCTCCCGATCGTATTTCCCCGAGATAAAAGAAAAGATGGGCAATCTGTCTTTTCAGAGCTACCGCCCAAATCAAAAAAAATATTCTTGTCATAGGCCCTGTTCCTGGTCAGAAATATAGTGAAATCACGTTTCCTATTCTTTCCCCGGACCCCGCTACTAAGAAAGACATTCACTTCTTAAAATATCCTATATACGTAGGCGGAAACAGGGGAAGGGGCCAGATTTATCCTGACGGGAGCAAGAGTAACAATACAGTTTATAATGCTACAGCATCCGGTATAGTAAGCAAAATCCTACGAAAAGAAAAGGGGGGATACGAAATAACCATAGCGGATGCATCGGATGGACGTCAAGTGGTTGATATTATCCCTCCGGGGCCAGAACTTCTTGTTTCAGAAGGCGAATCTATCAAATTTGAGCAGCCGTTGACAAGTAATCCTAATGTGGGCGGATTTGGTCAGGGAGATGCAGAAATAGTACTTCAAGATCCATTACGTGTACAAGGCCTTTTGTTCTTCTTAGCATCTGTTATTTTGGCACAAATATTTTTGGTTCTTAAAAAGAAACAGTTCGAGAAGGTTCAATTGTCCGAAATGAATTTCTAGACTCGCGGATTTATCGACCTCAAGTTTGTAAAAAGAACCAAATTTTTTTTAGTAATTATGATTATCTATGATAAAAAATAAAATTCTAAAAAGCCTTTTGTTTGTTTATACTCTTTTTCTACGAGATGCCGGGAATTCCTTGTACCACATTCCTAGCCACAGTATGTAGATTGTGAAGAAGACTATTTGACTTGACCCCTTCTTTCTTTGTTTTTGTTTTTTTATAAAAATTTGGGGTGATGTTATTATGTTGCTATTGGCAGATTAAAATGTCATAAAATGCATTTGAGTCTAATACAATGGACTTCGGCTAGATCCTATACAAAAGTAAACGCAAAATAGAACGGATAATTGAAGGGAACAAATATTTCTGGGAGGGGTTATTCGTCTTCCTAGTCTTCGACACAAGAAAGGGGTGTGAAAAATCCTTTTCTTGTGTCGAAATAATAATGATTCTTGATACTGTTCGTCAAACATTCCTAGTGTTAGTTTCTATTTTTTACAGACGTATCAGAACGTTTTTTTATAGTTATTACGTATTTTATTTATTCTTATCTTATAATAATTACGTATACTATAAATAAAAAGTGGTGGACAAATAAAAGAGGAGGGGAAAATCTGTTGAGTAAATAGAACTTCTTCAATGAACTTATAAAAAAAATATTCTAATTATTAAGAACTCAACGGGACCTTCTCCCTCAAATCAGACAAACAAAGAAGGGAATCCGTTGAGTTCTTACGCTTTCATGTCTACAACTCAATTCATCCGATTACTACAGGGATGAACCCAATCCGGAATATGAACCATAAAAGAAAACACCTACTAAACCGATCACAAGAATACCAGCTACAGTACCTATTATCCAAAGAGGAATTCTTCCAGTAGTATCGGCCATTTACCCCACTTCCCTCCACATTTCATCAAGTGGTCATGCTAGAGACATAAACAGTCATGGATAATTATGAGATGAGATCCTTCCGAATGGGGTAAGAGAAAGAATACCTAGAACGATTAGTCTATTATTTTAGTTCTCTCTCCTTTTCTTAATTGAAGAAATAATTGGAAAATAAAACAGCAAGTACAAAAATGAGTAATAACCCCCAGTAGAGGCTGGTACGATTCAATTCAACATTTTGTTCGTTTGGGTTTGATTGTGTCGTAGCTCTATAATTCGGATTAGGTTTATCGTTGTATGAACTGCATTGCTGATATTGACCCCAAAAAAGAAACGGTAGGTACAGCTAGGCCGTGAACAGTCAACCATCGCACTGTAAAAATTGGATAGGTTCGATCTATGGTCATTGAAGCCTCCTAAAAAGATCTACTAAATTCATCGAGTTGTTCCAAAGAATCAAAACGGCCGGTGATTAATGGAATTCCTTGTCGGTTTTCTGTGAAATACTCGTTTGGCCGAGGGCTTCCAAACACATCGTAAGCTAAACCAGTGCTGACGAATAACCAACCCGCAATGAATAGGGAAGGTATAGTAATGCTATGAATGACCCAGTAGCGAATACTGGTAATAATATCAGCAAAAGAACGTTCTCCTGTGCTTCCAGACATGCTGAGCTCCACATATTCTTGTACAGTCAAAGGGGATCGATTCCGTAAAAGATTGGATCAGTAAATGGAAATTCACTGAAAAAAATCTTTGTGAGATCGTCAATATTGTACCGAGGGCGTCTTTAGAGTATACCGAATCAGTATAGCTATCCTTCTTCTGACACAGCAACGCACTTTCAATGAGTATTGGAAGGAGGTGCTAAATAATTTCTTTCTTCCGTTACTTGTTGTTTATCGATGTAAAATAATGTCCCATTCAATAGAAAATTATTAAATTGAAAATAATCTATTTCTCACCATTATGAGTTTAGGGCTAGAAACTGAGGATCAGGTAAAATATGAATCTGATAAGGTAGTTTCTAATAATTCATGAAATTGATTAGAATATTCCCACAATTGTAAGTAGATGTGAGATCTATAAATCTTTGTTATTCATAGTTGTAGAAGCGGTTTTTGTTGGAATCTTTTTTTTTCTTTTAAGGAATTGGTTAATCGTCCAGTAACAAGTAAGAATAGCAAATTTTATTCGATAAACGAAAAAGAACAAAGAATGAAATAATTGGAATCACTAATAGTGCATGCAGTGTTGTATTAGATCAAAATCGGAAGGTTCTTTCTTGACCTAACTACAAAAATGCAGATTTTTGGAAAGATACAAAATAGAACTTCTAAAGCAAAATAGAATAGAAATGACTAGTCTTAGAATATAGTTGAACCAAAACACCTATTTTTTTTCGAGTGATCATGTGATAACTTTTTGTTCTCATTCATTCAAGATATTATATAAGTGAACCTATTACGGAATCTAATTAGTTAAAATCAAAGTAAAAGTTTTATAAGATTACTGTTCGCTCTAAAATATAAAATTGATTCGATACAATAAAAAAAAAAAAAGAAATGATAAAAAGAGGAATAATTTAATAATTTCATTCCATAATGATTCGAAAAGACTTTCATTTTAAAACGAAATTAAATGACCCAGTTCTTATTATTCGTTTCTAAGTTGAGTTGAAAAATTATCCAAGAATGAATTCGCTGATTGGCGGTATGGGTAGATGTTACAGATGATTAATCCATTTTTTTTTATACAGTTGTGACTTTCTCCTTGTTAGTGCTGTCTATAATGATAGATCAATCAAAACCTTTCAATTGGACTTATTCTTTCAATTGGTATTTTTTTTTATCTCCTATTTTGCAAAAAAGGAAACTCAGGTAAGTGCTTTTTTATAAACATATGTATAAAAAGAACATATTTCATTTAGCTCCTTCATGCTTACCATAACTAGTTATTTCGGTTTTCTACTGACGGCTTTAACTATAACCTCAGCTCTATTTATTGGTCTGAGCAAGATACGACTGATTTGAAATTCATTGCACAATTCATAAAAGGAAATCTTTCCGCGAACTTCTGTGTATTTATAGTTACTTACCGTGTCCATTGCCAATTCTTGGTCATTGAGATTCATGGTAATTCAGATTAATATTTAGGTATAGATATTACCTCTTTTTTCTCCTTTCAAACAAATTGAAATGATTGAAGTTTTCCTATTTGGAATCGTGTTAGGTCTAATTCCTATTACTTTGGCTGGATTATTTGTAACTGCATATTTACAATACAGGCGTGGTGATCAGTTGGACCTTTGATTAGATTAATTAACATCTCTTTTTTTGATTGACCTCCTCCTTTCTTTAATATCCAGGAGGTCAAATTCAGATTGCCGTTCCAGTTAGTGCTTCAACCGAATTCGATCGAAGAAGATCCGAATCACGCTCTGTAGGATTTGAACCTACGACATCGGGTTTTGGAGACCCACGTTCTACTGAACTAAGAGCGCTTTCTTATCATAAAAGATAAGACTGTAAATAAAAGGATTGGCCCCAATACATCTTGTATGCATACACTATCATAGTATCATAACAATGAAAGATTCTATATGATATGTCCAATGTGAATTGATCTCAAAAAATCCCTCGTTACTGCTCAAAGGAGCAGTAATAGGTAGGGATGACAGGATTTGAACCCGTGACATTTTGTACCCAAAACAAACGCGCTACCAAGCTGCGCTACATCCCTTCCATTGGTCTACAGTGTCATTGTAGAGAATTCTTGTCTTGTTTTCCACATCGTTATCTCCTCTATTAAAATCTAGAATTTTTATGTCCATTTCGTCTTTTTGTTCTCATTTAACATATAATAATAGTAAAATACTTCTATCTATATGAAAAATGGAATGGAACCCCTAGGAAAAATAAATGAGTTGGGGGAATATTGGGGAAGAAAGGACTTTCTGTATTTAACAAAAAGTCAATCTTATTTACTGGATGATTGTACATTTCAATATGTTTATGTATTACAATAAAATGAAGGAGGTTTTTCAATGCGAGATCTAAAAACATATCTTTCCGTAGCACCGGTATTAAGTACTCTATGGTTCGGTTCTTTGGCAGGTTTATTGATAGAGATTAATCGTTTTTTCCCGGATGCGTTGACGTTCCCCTTTTTTTCATTCTAGTTATTGACGTGGGAAGGAATAAAGAAGATTAGAGATACAATTAAATACCAGCCCCCTTCTTTTCTCTTTTTTCCCTTTAAAAAATTTTAGAATAAGGGAGGAAAGAGAAAGAATAAAAGTGCATTCAACAGCTGCGAGACTCGGGTTCAGGTTGGAATTAAATTAATATGAAATTTCTATGTATTCAATTTCTATGGAAGTAGAATACAAACTGTGGTTCTAGGGAAAGAGTATTATATAAGATACTTATATGAAATACTGTACTGTGATTTGAAATCTAGTTTAGAAATCTTTCTATCTTATTTGCTATATTGATTGTAGTGAAATCTTGCATAAGAGGATAGTAAGTTACAAATTCTATTTTGTTTTTTCCTTTCTTCTTTTTCGTTTCGGATTGAAAGAGGAAGAGTTGAGTAAATGAAAAATCCAAAGGAGGTTCATGGCCAAGGGTAAAGATGTGCGAATACCGGTTCTTTTGGAATGTACCGCTTGTGTTCGAAACGGTGTTAATGTTAATAAGGCATCAACGGGCATTTCCAGATATATTACTCAAAAGAACCGGCACAATACGCCTAATCGATTGGAGTTGCGAAAATTCTGTCCATATTGTTACAAACATACGATTCACGGGGAGGTAAAGAAATAGATCGAACCGAGCACCTGCGCCCTTATCTATCTTACAAGGAAAAGGAAAAAATGACATTATATATATAACATATTTAACATAGTTAAAGATAATTATAAACAAACCAAATCCTATTTTTTTATTCTAATTAGAGATACGGCTGAAATAGGATTTTAGGGATAAGAAATAAACTAACCAAACCATGGATAAATCCAAGCGAACTTTTCTTAAATCCAAGCGATCTTTTCGTAGGCGTTTGCCCCCGATCCAATCGGGGGATCGAATTGATTATAAAAAC